CTTCGGCAGATTTTCGTTACACACGTTCATGAAAACCGAAATATTATTGTAATAGTTACTGTAGCAACGTATGAGTAAATGTATTGCTATTCCGTGTAATTGATAATGTAGAAAATTTCACATGCTCCAAAAAATGTCTTAGGTGTCTTTTCATGAAGTCTAAGATATCTTTTGATAACGTCTTGAAGACGTCTGAAATCAAACAAGACGTCTATAATACGTCTTTTCGACATGCGTATCGTGTGGAGTTCCTTTCGGATCCATTATCACATATCCATTTTCCAAGTTGAAACAACGAAAGTTTGCATTCAACAATCGTCCAGTCCTTCGAGGTCGAGTGATTCATACGAGAGGAATTGCTCTACTCTCCAATTCACTGTCTCCCCAGCAACGACTTTACGGTTCACGCCCTAATTTTATGGTCTGACCACGAACGCCGGCATCTGAACTTTCCCATAGCCAAGATTTTACAATGGCATCGGAGCGAACGCTTCGATCATCTCCCGGGCGGCGTTCGTCGTCACATGTGCGATATTCCTTGCACGGATGAGGTGAGGGGGAGGTCCCGAAGCGGTCTGGAGTGTCCAGGATCGGGCGAACGAGAGGGGGTTGATCGTGTTTCGACGAGAAGGGAATACGCGGTTCAGCGCGCGGAAGGGGGTATCAATAGCTCGTTAATCGCGACGGAGGGTGAGTACTCGGGGCGATACACATCCCTCGTGCCTCCCCTACCGCTCTCCTTCTTGAATTGAAATTTATTTAAAACGACGCACTGACGTGCCCCGGGGGTTTGCGCCCCCTCTCCTTTCTTTCTCCGGGCCCTCGTGTGAGAATTGCGAAAACGGCGCGCAAGGTTGCCGGGACACTGGCTGCACGCTCTCGAGTCAAGTGCACGCGAGATTAAACCTTCCTGTCTCGCCTGGACGACCACGCCGCTTTCATCGTCCACTGACGAGCCCTGAGAACACGGCTCGCCTCTGAGCCGAGCACGCACTCTCATGTGAGATATCGCGAAAGCCGTATGTGCTCGGCTGACAATGCAACGTCACATGCAGAATCCAGGACGGGGGGCGTCTGTCCACACAGATCATCCTCGGAGTGGAAACCCACTCGAAACAACTGAAAAGTGATAGTATTTTTTGTATTATTGGAAGCGATAGTGAGAGTACTGAGAGTACTCGCAAGAATGAATGATTCACTCTGTATGAGCGGAAAATTACTGAAATTCGAATGGTCACTACGCTTTTCGAGTGAGATTTTACTCCGCGAAATTTATAGAGCAAAGCTTCGCTTCGTCGTCTCCCCAGTAACGATTTCACGCTTCACGCTACGTCCTAATTTCATGGTCTGACCATGAACGTCAGCATCTGAACTTTCCCATAGCCAAGACTTTATAATGGTCTCTCGATGTGCGGTAAACGCCGCAAGCTCGGAGGGGGATCGTTCGATGTTCTTACGACCTCGAAGAAACCCGAGGAATTTCTGCTGAGATGATGATCGAAAGATCGAAGGATCGCCAACTTGACTCAATCGTTTTGGGGACTGTGAGTCAAGGAGTTCACGGTTGTTTTATCTGCGTTAACCGTTTTAGTGCCAGGAATTTTTAAAAATCCGTGTCGCCATGCAGCGCGATAGCGCTTCGTTCATTTATCTGCGAGTAATGCCGATCGCGCTGCTCTTTTTTTTTCGTCGAAATATGCCGATCGCGCTTCATTTCACCAGTTATATCAGAAACGTTATACTAAACACTCAAAAGTTTGCGAAATTCGAAACCGAGCGCGTTGCGAATTGACGATCGTGACCAAACATCGCGGCACATTTCACCACAGTACGCGAACAGCGCGATTGCGCTGCGTGGCGCTAAAACGGTTAATCTCGAAATGAATTCACGGACGATTCGCTGTGCCATTCATACATCGTATTATATATATTCGGGAGAATAGTCGTGCAGTCTCCCTAATCGTTCATTCGGGGGTCTTCGTGGGCCGGGTGGTAAAAAATACGTCGTTATCGCTTTCGCGCATTCGCCATCGCGACGTAGCCGTTCACGTGGGAAACCGGGACGCCGGGTTTTCCACAGAAGTAAAAATCCGCTTATCACGCGAGGGCACGCGTGTAAATAAAAGCGCCGCCCGTTTCTCGCCCCCTTATTTTCACGAGCGAGGTTGATCCCAATTGTGCGGCCATGATCTGCATTTCTGATTTCATCAATTCGCCCTTTCTCTCTTTCACTTGCGACGTATCTCTCGCCTGCTTTCGACGTACAGAAGCAGCAGGGAGGGTGAAACATTGTCATTTGCATCGAGAGACGGGGTGTTTCGTGTCCGACGATGAGGAAGAATGCGAGGGGCGGCGCAGATCGCAACTTGAGCCTAGCATTTAGCCGCGAGATTAATCGCGATCGTGTGCGCGGATAATACGCGGGGAAAAGTTGCGGAGGGGTGAGGGCGCACAGGTGCAGCCCCGTGGAAATTTCAGGGGTAAATGGTACTCGGGACGAATTAGCCTCTCTAGTAAAAATGGCGCCGCTGATGCACAAGGTGTTCCGGTCGATCTAGATTTTTCAGGGCGATACGACAGAACAGACGAACACTTGTAGCTAAAATTTAAATCGGGAATCGAAATATCCCGGAGGGAGGAACGAAGACGGGATCTTGCCTCTTTGAATATGGAATAACATTTGCTGACACAACGTTAATCCTCAAATTGACCCCGCATTTTCGCTTATTTCACAGCATGTACGCGCTGTTTCTCTTCTTGAACGTGAAACAGGAATGTTATTATTTACTTCTTTTACCTATTTTATATATTAATTACATGAAAAATGGACAACATGAGGTCAGATCCGACCTCACCTTCCTGGATATCTTGAAAGTCCATTTTGCCATTAGAGGGTTAAATTGGAGATTTTTAGTTCAGAGGGCAAGGACGATTCCATAATCACCGTGAATATGTCACACGTTCGTTCCGTCGACGCCAAATAAATTAACCGTCAGGATTTTTCCAACCACCGTTGTTTCTGTCGTGCAGACCTCGACATTGATCGTGAAGGAAGCGCCTGGGCCGGAAGATGACGCGAAACAGACGTGATTATGGTAATTTCATTGAAACTTGTGAATGCTGTACTCGAGGAATCTTGCTTCGAGAAAGTCACTCGAATAGTCTATGCATGTATAAACAGCGTGGATGGAATTCATTACGAAGACAATGACGGAGGAAGCGTCGAAAGACATAGTCGATATCAAATAAATAAATAAATAGCAGATTCAAAAGAAGCGTAAAAAAGGAAACGTCTTGAGAGGCGAAGAGAAGAAGACGAAGAAATGGTGACTCTTACTCAAAGGTCGATGGACTAAAATTAGCCGATTTCGATCCCCGGAGTGGCAAGCAAAAACGATATGTTCTTTTTTTGTAGTTAAAAAATTTTTAATTCGGGAAAAAATCGGGAAAATGTTAAAATTAGCATATGAAGCTATCAACCGTCTAGTATTGTAAATTATCAAATTCCCGAGGAAGGTAACGAATGGATACGCTCGCTTGGACATATTTGTTACGCAATACATCTGTGACATGTGCATACTTTTTTACAACTAAACAATTTCAACAAACACGTTCGAGTTTGCGCGGGGACGCTCGAGGGAGGTGACCACGAGTGAGGTCAGGTCTCTGCGACCCCGTATGATTATATGGACTGAGAAAATCAACGGGAGTTTTATGCTAGGGAAGAAACGTCACGAGAGAGAAACATCGGGGTCGCATTTAAGGACCCGCGGATGCACCGGCTAATATAAACATTACACCGCTGGGACCGACTTACCGCGGGGGGTTTTTATGCGGGGTGCGCCTCTCGCGACAGGTTTCAATGGGAAAATCATCGTATATTATATCGCGGTCGTGTAACTCGCGCATACTGACGTTACTGTCATATATGGGGGACCATATGCGATCATTTTCGCCGGACCTGATCGATAACCTTCTCCTTTCTGTCTGGAGGGAGAAATGGTTCTCGTCATTTTTTATTTTCATCGCGTCCTGATTCTCCTTATGACGATATGTTAGAAAAAGAAACACGTCGCACGATAAACTCTGATAAATAATTGAGAAGATGATGGACTAAAATTAGCCGATTTTGATCCCCGGAATGACAAGCAAAAACGATATGTTCTTTTTATGTAGTTTTTGATCTGTTGAATCTGATCCTGATTTTTAAAAAATTTTAAATTCGGGAAAAAATCGGGAAAATATTAAAATTAGCATATGAAGCTATTAAATATCTAGTACTGTAAATTATCATTGTTGAGTTTTAGGAAACGTATTCATTCGTGTTTTCTTGATAGTAAAAAAAATGATAATATTTTCATCTCTAACAGTTCATGTTCTGATCAGTCTATCTATCAGAAATCTCTCAGAATGATGTTGTTAATAGTGATAGTTAATAGTGAAAGTGATTCTAGACAGAAATAATTATTTCACTTATTTTCTCCAAATGTTTTGTTTTCTTTTTCTTATGTATGTATCTTTTTATGTATAATATACAGATTTCCGTTGATTAAAAGTATCTTACTATTGCAGTATTTTACTGCTGGAAATTGTAAGATTTATGCAAGAAATATTTTTAAGTACTAAAATCCGTTTTGACCGAATAAGGCTTTCTTCATTTATTAATCTGTATTATTCACATATCGATCGATGTTCACTTAATGTCGTTTATTTTATTATAGTTTTACATTTTCATTAACATATTATTCTCATAGTAGCTTTTTATATATTTAATAGCTTCACATGCTGATTTTAATACTTTCCTGACAAATTGGAAATTTGTAAAGGTCAGAATCAAATTCAGCAGCTTAGAAACTACTAAAAACATGCCGTTTTTACTTGCTACTCCAAAATCGACCTATTTTACCCACCGTCCTTTTCAAACAGTGAATAATTCTAGCAGCAAATAATCGAACATTTCTCCGTGTTGTATATCGAAGATTCTTTTCTTTCTTTTTCAGAGTAACTAAACCTTCGAACACGCAGACTCTGACGTCTCCCGGCCGGCTGGGAGGCCCGATTGAAAGACTGCTGGTCGAGTTAGCGTTATCGGTGCTTATCATGCTGGCACATTTCGCCGCCGACTCACCCAGATCACTGCCACCTGCAATCTCTACGAAAGCTGCCGGGGTTTTAGCCGCAGCCTACACAGCGGCCACTCTCGTTTCCGTAAGTTCACTTCTCGTGACGATTCATGACGAATCGTGTCCTCTTGACTGAAAGAGACGATTAAGATCGGGAAACCTATAAGAGAGAGAGAGAGAAAATGAATGAATGAATGAATGAAATATCCTATTATATAAAATTATATTTACCGATTCCTTTTCATTTTCGTTATTAAGAAATAAAAGAGAATATTATAAAATTTGATTTTAAATCCCCGATTTTTGGAATGACACAACGTTTGTAACTTAATATAATTAAAGCGTCTCATTTATATAATATAATGAGATCGTCGTATAAAATAATTGAATTTCCTTCGACTGGGTAATTTTCTCTCTTCGGAATAAATTAATTCCACTGCTGTGTGTTGCCTTTTTTCTTGTTAAATGGTCGCTGTGCGAGAAGAAAAAGCGTTTCTCTTTCAGCAAATGTGCGTGCGCGCAACTAAATAAAAGAACAACGCGCTCTGCTTTCTTCTTCCGCCGTGCATGTCGTCCTCTCTCGCAATCGCTCTGTCCAAAAGCGTCTCTCCGGCTCTTTCCAATCGGGCCGCATCTTTAAAGAGCACCTGCCGTTGGACGGGAGAAGGGTGGGGTCGCGGAGAAGTGGTGGGCAGGAAGATGAAAGAAAGAACTTGATCCTGGACCCACCTGCTCCGGAACGAGTGTTCACAATGCACCCCAAAACGAAAAACATCAGAACCACCGTTCTGTGAAACACGCGTTGAATGTCGATTCTCTCGCATCGGCGAAATCGAACAAATTCGTTGCTTACGGACTAAATTCCCGGCCGCGAATTCCCGATCTAATCGCTCTTTCTCTGTTGCCCGAATCTTCAAACTATCCTACACATAGAGAAAAAAGATCGGTTGAATCAATGTGGCAATGAACTAACCGAATGCGTTTCGGTGAAAGGGAATTTCTCGTCTTAAGAACCGAATGTAGTTCGTAAGATCTATAAGTACCTTCAAGGAAGGTTTTCAAGGAAAACGTGTTTTGTTCGTTCGATGTCACGTTATTTTAACGCGTTAATTTAACGTTCGGGAGAAATACGATTTTTCTGAATTTTTCCGCAGATTTTTCGACTTCCTTCCAAGGAAAAATCGCAAAAATTGTTTTTTAAAATTACATTAATTCGACCAATCTTTTTTCTCCGTGCGTAAATATACTGAAAGAGCCCGAGGTAAAAATTTTATAACTCGCCAAACCATAACAAATTTGACGACAATTTTATCGAATTAATTGAATTAATTTTCGATTAGTTAATTTCCGAATCCCCGATTTGTAGAATATCTACCAGAAATCGTCGACAGGTTATTCTAAAGAGTCCACCTACCTAACGTAGCGTCTTCCCTCTACATTTTTCAGAGCCCATTCCTGAATCCAGCGCGCGCCCTGGGGCCGGCCTTCGTGTTGAACCGCTGGGACAACCACTGGGTATACTGGGTGGGCCCACTGTCAGGTGGCGCCGTGGCGGCGCTGCTTCACGAATACGTGCTGTGTCCCAAACGCGTAAAGGACCCTCGCGAGATAGACGACGGTGACAACTCATCCATGAGGTCCGACGAGGATACTTACGACGACCTGGACAAACCGACGAACGGACCGAAATTCCCAGGCGCGTACGCGACCTATCGCCCGGTCGCCGGCGCCTCCTCGTCGATCTACAGCGCGCCCCCGTCCGCGTTGGAGCGCGTCGAGTCGATTTACGGCGGCACTAAGTCGCTGTACTGCAAGTCGCCGCCGTTGACTCGCGCGAATCTGAATCGCTCGCAGAGCGTTTACGCGAAGTCAACCTCGGGCCCGCGGGACGGCCTGATGATACCGAAGCCGGGGCCGTTGGTGCCGGCCCAGAGTCTCTACCCCATCCGCCTGGGTGGTCAGAACGGTTGCCAGAACGGGCTGGCCACCCGCGAGAACCAGCCCGTCACCGGCGGCGCCGCCGGCGCTGCCGGAGCCGGCGGTCCGCCGAGCCAGACTTCGCAGAACCACAACAGCACCAATCAGAACATGCAGAATCAACTGCAGCAATGCACACAGAGCATCTACGGCATCCGTGGCATTTCCACGAGCCTGAGCACGCGGGAGAACGGCATCTACGGGGTGTCCACGGGCTCCAGCATCTATGGGCGCGCGCCGGCGCCGCCGCCGGCCAGCCAAAACTCCCAGCAACCTGCTCAGCAAGGCGGCCAGACCTCGGTGCAGAACCACCCGCCGCCGCCGCCTCCGCAGCAGCAACAGCAACAGCAACACCAGCATCAGAACGGACCGTTGTCGAGCGGCTCTGAAAACGGGCCGAATCCCAGACGGCCCGAGAGCATGTACGGCCACGTGTCGAGGCGCAGCGACGACTCCGCCTACGGCAGCTACCAAAGCTCGTCGAGGGGCAATTATGGCAAGGTACCCGGACCACCGGGCCCGCCAGGACCGTCAGGACCGCCAGGACCGCCGCAATATCGCGAGCAGGGCAGACCGAGCCCGGCCGGGCCGCTCCAGCAGAGTCAGAGCGCGCAGAGTAACTTCCAAAGAAACTCACCGAATCCCCAGTATTGACTGTAGACTGAAAGCCGATGGACCTTGCGAGGATTCTCGCACCATTGGCGAATCGTCCCCGAAGAGACCGCTCGCGGGATCGTTTCCATCCGCGCCGCCGAATACGTTCTGATGATTTCCACCAGATAGAGCGCGTAATCTCCAAGCGACTAGGAAAATCTGTAAATAGAATCTTAGTTAACGAATGTTTGTAATTCTTCGACGCGTTCGCTGTCATGATGATCCTTCCCGCGTTGAAAGGCACGGATGTCGAGTAACGGAAGGAAAATGCGCGACTACGAATCGTCGCCCGTCTTATTTGCCGCCGGCGTCGCGATCGAATCCGTTTATTTGTAATGGCAATCAAACGTTTGTAACGATAATATAATTTGCGAACTGAGAGATGTGACTGTATATAGAATTTTATAGAGATATTTAGACCTACGATTTTTTTATTATTTATAACAATATCTGAGATTGAATATATGTATCTGCGAAAAAACACGAAGCCGCGTCTTTTCTATTTTCTGTTGTATAATAAGATAATTTGTGAAAACATCGATAACGAAAACACTGTTCGATGCACAATTGAATACGCATGATTTTCGCGCAACGTAATTATATAATTCTCTTAGATCTCTCGTCTAATTTAATTTCCATCTCGTATCAGTTAGCAATAATTCAGTGTCAGCTGAATAATTGGGAAATTTTTGTATGATTATCAATCTGGTTGATAATCAATCTTAGGTATAGCATGTGCCAAATATTTTCCAATGCACTCAAACAACACAATGTCCAAAGTCAGAACATAAAATGTCTTAAAGATGAGACGTCTTGATATATCACGACTTGAAGACGTCCAAAAGCCTCATTAGTCTCATGTCCCAATTTTGAACATTTATATTGTCCGGGAATATTCTTTTTCAAGGAACAATCGGCGTACGAATTAGAATGCTTGTCTTAAAAATTATTCGTGAAAAGTCGACTATGCACAATATAAATTATACCGTGAACATGATATCATTATTCGTGTCTCACGCATTCATAGAAAGTTCATCTATGCTATATAACGAATAGTAGGTAGTTTTATATATAAAAATGAAAAACAAAGTAAATGTTAATATTTAAATACACGCAAGGTAACTGTGTAACATACTATATGGAAAAGTGGCGAAGTAAATAGTTAGATTCTTCGTGTCATAGAAATCCCCATGTAAAAGCATTTGTATATATTATGTGTATTTATTAATCCGCATCTACACGTGGTAATTGTAAGTTTTGATAACTGTTACATTTGCATATGCACACGTATTTCTAATATATACATATTATATATAGGCGGACATTAGTATAATGTAATATATATTAGAAAATGATGACAATAAATGTATTTACAAAAGTAAATTTGTACAGTTATCGTTTTTTGGCACTCGAATCCTGCATATTTTATTTAGTAGTGAACTATTAAGATATGTATTGTTTGTAACGGAGATTTTACGAAACTGCACTTTGGAACAGTAATTAACCCGTTAAAAACTTATTGAGTCTTTTCATATTTCTAGAGAATATAAGATAAATCTTTGAAAATTACCTTATTCGGCACAAAACTCAAGAGCGAGTAACGGACTGCCTGGCGCCATCTAGCGATTTATCGCCATCTATCGTGATAAACTTGAATGACGCGGAGATTTTGAATCGTGGCTATTTTTCTCTTTGAGTTTTATGGCTCAACAACAAATTAGAAGACCATTTGTTTTTCAAGTTTATCTTCATGATTTAACGAACGCCAGGAACGCACTTAGCGTTTTCAACGATCGCGAGAATAGACCGGATCTACAATGTCTATTCGCATTGGTCGAATTGACCAATGCGATTGGGCATTGCGGACCGACCCACTCTCGCAATCGTTGACAACGCCAAATGGAACCTACCCCTAGTGTGACATGTTGAAAAACCGCTCGATAGTTCAAAAGAGGCGGCTGTGTGAACACATGGACGAATATGTTTGAGTCAACGACTTTGAGGCAGATCATGTTGTTCATCAGTTTTTTCGTCATAATTTTCGCAACAACAATATCTACGGCGCACAGGTTAAATGTACCTCGAGTTTTGTTACCTGTGTTCAATAATTTCGCTGTTAATTTTACGCTGGAAGTAACGGACGATGGCTGTTACAAATGGTGATTATTATTGCTTATCACAACAAATTAACATATGTGATGTGTTATCGTTAAATTGTAATAAAATGTAATAATATAAGTGCTTTACCATAGCAAAGATCAATTTGACCATCGCATAATGTATTACCGGTACTGCTATAACCTTATCGATATACCAGTGTTTCTCTGTATCTATATTTAACGTGTAGTACTTGCAATACATAAATCCTTTTAATATAATAAAATATATGTAGTGTATATATGACAAATTATATACATGTTTTGTCCATATTTGTCCTAAAATCAATTGGTATCAGTTTTTTCAATACATTTCTTAATATACCTCTTAGGTCATCTTCACGCTCCGATATCATCCAACTGATTCCTGTAAATGAAAACTTTGAGAGAACATGCTCGTCGGCAGTATTAATTCAAACAATAACAAGAGAACCAACAAGGAATACTGCCATTGTATTAGCTGAGGATATCAATACTGGTAACTTTTTGCGTTGCGATGTCATAGTGGATGCTATTTTTTCTTTAAATCTCACTACCACTACAAGAGAATTGTACATTGAGGATATACCTGAAGCATTTGAAGTACGAGCGTATGATGAACAAGGTAATATATGTAATTAAATATGCTTACAAAGTACATAGATTTAGCCTTTGAAATATATAACTGTACTGTGAGCGAATTTAAACAGATGTATAAATAATTACATAGGAAACCAGTTTACAACTTTAGCTGGCATAGAATTTCTATGGGAAACTGGCGATGCTGATAAACGCATACCATCTGATACTAAATCAACAAGTAAGGTATTACGCTTTATGACCTACGAGGAGTCGCAATATGAAAGACCTGCTAGTGTGGCTGCACTGGATAGTATTGGTAAAAGGGGTAATATTGTTCTTATAGAAGGTATCAAGACTGGTACAGCTAAGGTAAATTTATATCCCAATAAAACTAAGTAATATTTAGTAATATTACTGCCTCAAAATATTTCAGCACATGGAGATTAAGAATACATATTATTAATACATCATTCAATATAATACTACAAAGTATAGTGATATAAAATACAATATAATATCAAATTAATATATTAATTTTATTAACACACACACACAGTATAACTATTCCTTATAGAATAATTTTTTCATAAGGAAATCCTTTCTTAGGTATCCGTCAGATTGCCACATTCCGAATATAGGCATGTTCCACCCGCGGAACTTGAGCTAATCGTCATTGCAAATTTAATCATTATACCACCGGAAATAACAATAATGGTTCACGATAGTTTCAAATACAAAATAATGCACGTAAGTTCTATCCATTAAATTAATCATACGTTATGTAAACGTGGACAGGCGACGATCTAAAGGTCAAGGAAAGGGAAACGGAATATTACTCAGCAATTACATCAGTACTTTTCTACTTTTCATATGCATTTAGCTTTTGTCAACTTTCGGTCTCCTGCATCTCGATAAATTATTGTTGTTTTATGTTTCACTTTACATAAGTCTGTGCATTTGTAGACTCGTCAAGGGCGGTTGGAAGAGATCAGCCTGCCTTCGAGCCAATATTATTTGAAGGCTGAGAATTCCGACATACTAGAGATCGTTAATGAATACGATTTCGCGTACGCCCGTAAAATGGGACGTACGAAGGTCTTCTTACACGATAAAAATGTCCGCGAGGAGTATTCGGTTATCTTACCTTCCGCGACGGTCAATGTACACGAAGTGGCCAAGATTTCTCTGTCTGTTCTGCCGAATAGAAATTGGGGATTAGTCTTAGGTCACACTCACGAGATTATTGTCGAGCTGTATGACAGGTGTGCATGTTATCTCGTTCTGTTATCCCTGTATAATCGATTTTCTTGCTTTCCTTTTGTTTCTACAATTCTTGCCGCAACGTGTGTAATAATTCTTAATTGTGATGTATGTGAATCGTAGCAAGGACCATAAATTCTACATCGGAGAAGGTGTTGACGTGCTTATAAAGATAGACGAACAATATTTCAAGTCCAAATTTGCAACACAGAATGGCACTTACGTTGTCGGAGTACCGATTACCTGCGGAACGATGACTGTGGAAGCGACGTTGCGCGGCATAATCGACGAACACGGCGAGAAAATCACGTCTATGCCGCAGCTTTATACGACAGCCGAATTACTGATACACGAACCGGTTAAAATTCAACCTCGTGTCTTAGCTATCCCGTGGGACGTTGCGAACAGATCTAGGTAAATTTTCTCCTACCCATATTTTCCGTGCTTTCTTTTATTTACATTATTATTTTTTTTTTGCAATAGAAATAGGAGGAAAAGAATCATTTTAGTTCGATTTTTACGTTGCCAGGCTCGAATTATTATTAATTCTTTAAGGCCCGCACATCGTAATCCCGTTGAAGTAAAATATAATTTATAAGATCGTTTTAAAGGACATTTCTGATGACACTTTGTTTTGTTCGAATAAAATTCGCCATCGATTTTCTGATATAAAAATGAGGAAATATATAAAATTGTTTTACCTAAAAAAATATTTGTTTCTCGCTTGCTTATATAACATAGTCGTTGAAGAACACCGGAGAAAATTCTCATAAGTAGAATATATAATAGTAGAATATGCTTACATTTCTTCACGAATCATTTTATATAAATCTGAGCGTTGGTGACTTCGCACATATTGGTCTTCAGTTGGACACTATTTCACGGGTTAGGACGAAGAATATAGGGTTCATTTAGGATGCATTGATAATATCAGGCCTAATTATAAAGTCTAAAATGGATGTGCGTTAACATGTTCGTCGGGCCTTGAAAAATTAAGTTCCGCATTGGTCTTCGGTGTTACAATAGGTCCTTGAAAGGGAAGTGGAAAGCATCGTAAAAACTGCGGCAGGTAAATCTGTTCTCGAAGCTTACCGCTTCACCTGCGTTTCAGATTCGACATAACGTTGAAGTCGAACGGCGGGGACGGCTCGTACGTGTGGTCCAGCAGGCAGCCGTCCATAGTGGCGGTCTCGCAAAATGGCGGCATCAGGATCCTGTCTGCGGGTTCGGCAGAGGTGGTCGTCGCGATGGCGAGGAATCCTTACAACAAGGACACCGCGAAGATCTACGTGTTGCCGCCGTCGAAACTGAAGATAATCGAGTACAACATGGAGGCTGCTGTGGGGGAGCAGATTTACCTGCACGTTGCGTTGTACGGCAAGCTGGTCAACGGTTCGGACGTCAAGGAGATACCCTTCAGCGATTGCAAGGACGTCCGCTTCGACGTGCACATACCGGACGGGAACTTCGTGCAGGATCACAACAAGGACGTGCAACCGGTCGGGGCCGCTTGCGCCGTGCTGATCGTCAGCAACTACTGCTGCGTGGGCAAGTCCGACATCACTGTGGCCTACAACGTGAAGGAAAACAACCGCTATCTGGTGGACAACGTGACCGTCTCGGCGTACGAGCCGCTCGTGGCGGTGCACCCGGAGAGCAAGGAGACGTTACTCGCGTTGGGTTCCTCGCGGAACGTGATATTCAAGGGCGGGCCGCTGCCGTGGAGCAACCGGTCCCGGGATTACTCGCGGGAGATACGCTTGTCCAACGTGGAGGTCGCCGAGGTGACGGAGCGCGAGGACCCGTCGAAGGTCGGCCCGTTCGACCGGACGGTCTTCAGAGTGACCTGCAAGCTCCTGGGCAAGAGCACGCTGACGTACACGGTGTCGAACGTGCCGCTGTTCCCGAACTGCAAGCACACCCGCGCCTCGGAGACGGTTGAGGTCACCTGCGGCAAGCCGAGGTACATGTACCTGCAGCCCGAGTTCAAGGACAGCAAGAGCTGCCCGCTCGGGCAGAACGCGGACAAGATAATCGCCCACAGCGGCAGGCAGCTGAAGATCTCCGTGATCGTCAAGGACGAGGACGGCAAGCGTTTCGACAACATCACCAGCCTGAACATAGAGTGGCACCTGGAGCCATCGGACAGCGGCTCCGTGGAGGCGCCGTCCAGGACGATCGAGGACACTTGCACCGACGTCGACGTGATCCTGCCGAAGGGTCATTACCAGAACGTCGGCTTCAAGAAGTACCATGGCACCCTCACGGTGTCGGCGACCGTCACCGGATACCAGAAATACGTCCTCAACAGGCTGAAGATCACCCCAGAGTGGCCGCCGTTCCCCATCGAGAACCAGAGGGGCAGACTGGAGACTCCGTTGATAGAAGCCTCCGTGGAGGCGACCCTGGTCAACGACACCGTCGTCCACCCGGACAGACTGATGATTCTCAACGACCCGACGAGCATATCCTACCTGCAGGTCAGCCAAGGCTCCGGCTATTACGAGTTCCTGCTGAGCTCGGACGAGATCGCGGAGATTCGCTACTTGGACACGACACGGACGGTCAGCGTGATTCCGAGGAAGCCGGGTGTGCTGCGGATGACCCTGGTGGACTTGTGCCTGCCGTCCATGCCGGCGGAGGTGCACGTCGAGGTGCAGCAGCTCGCGGTGATCGAGGTAGACACCGTGAGCAAGATCGAGAAGGGGAAATGCGTGACGGCCGCGTTGAGGCTCTACGACACGCATGGCCACCTGGTGAAGCTGCCGTCGCAGAGCGCGTTGGACTTCCACGCGGACGCCGACAACGAGCACATCGAGATCAAGCAGCTGCCGGTGAACGAGCAAGGCAGCGCGCCGTACGAGAGGATCCTCTACAAGATCCACGGGCTGTCGGAGGGCGAAAGTCGACTGACCTTCGTGAGGAAAGGCGGGATACGGAGCGACCCGGTCACCGTGCAGGTGTTTCTGCCGCTCAGGGTGCAGCCGCGGAACCTGACCATCCTCATCGGCACCATCTACCAGGTGCAGACCATCGGCGGGCCGCCCAACGCCGAGGTCGAGTTCTCCACCGAGAGCGGCGACGTGCTGCACATCGACCGCAACGGCATCTTCGAAGGCAGGTCGCCCGGTCAAACGAAGGTGCACGTCCGAGCCATCGGTTTCGACGCCAGGGGCAACAAAGTGGTTTATTCGCAGGTAGGGAATCTGATACTCCTGATATAATACACTGGTATCGATACTTTTCTTTCAATATCGGGTATTTTTCTATCGAAGTTTAAGATTGGAAGATATTAAAACTGATCATAAAGTGTTGATGTTTTTTAATAGTCGAAATGAATAACAAACATTTCGAGATAAAATTATGTAAATATGTTAATAATATGTTAAAAAATATGTTAAAAAATAAAATAAAATAAATGTTCATTACAAACCTTTTCATACATGTAATGAAAATTTTTAAGTATAATTTTAGGTTGATAAACGCCTAAAAAAGAACGAAATGTTTGATATTCATTTCAATATATTATTTTTGAAAAACACAAATACTTTGTGTCAGGCTCTTATAAGCCTTCCTAATTTTTAACTTTGTATATAACATATTAGAGCTTTGAACTCTTTTCTTATTTTCATATTGATATTTTCTTTCGATACCTTTTTATTTTTAATCTTTTACTCAGTCGATCTTCAAGATATGTATTTTTGCTTCATGAACATTAGTGTAAAGCTCGTATCTCAGATTGCGAATTAAGATTGAGATTGAATTAAGATTTGATCAATCATAGCAAAGTTTATTAAACACGAATTTAGTGACCTTTGCTCTGATTAGGCAAATTTCAATTTAATCTCAACCTTAATTCGTAGTCTGACACGAGTTTTACAAGTTACGTTTTAAACCAATCTTTTTCACGATTTTTGTTACGTTAATTTTACGGTTGATTGCTGAAGTAAAAGGAACGGACATTTTCACGAGTTTTCGTCGATCACGAGTATTTTGTGCATATATTATTTTTATTGGTGTCTACATTTTTTTTCTGATGCTGGTCCCTCTAATGATAGCGATGCTCTTGATTAGATACCTGTTTCAATATCGATACTTTCATGGTATCGCAACATTCCTGCTCGCAGGATCACGCGGACATACACGTGCTGCACCTCGAGGACGTGAAGATCTCGACTCCCGTGGGTAGGGTGAAGGCTGGCGCCAGATTCCCGGTCTGGGCGTTCGGCATCCCCGATTACCTCACGCCGCTCATAATCGGCTCCATGCAGCTGCCGCTGAGCTTCACGTGGTCGTCGAGCGACCCGGGGCTGCTGACTCTGCACGACATGTACGAGGGCACCGGGATCAACATCAGGTACCAGAATCAGGTGTCTCTGAGGGCGAAGGCGCTCAGCCCAGGTTTGGCGACGATCTACTTGAACGTCACCATGCCCTGCAACATGCTGTCCGGCTGTAAGAACGACGTCACGTACACCACGTTCGTGAAGATCGAGATCTTCGAGGAACTGCGGCTGGTCGAGCCGCCGTCTTCGCGGGACGCCTCGCCCATACTGATGTCGCCGAATTCCGTCCTGCGGCTGCGGACGAACCGCGACAAGCACGCCACGACCACCTACAAGGTCCTGTCGAGCGCGCACGGCAACGAGTCCGCGGACTCACGCGCCTTGGCACCCGCCACGAAGACCGTGAGCGTCGACAAGGACGGAGTCCTGAGGTCCGGCGACAACTTCGGCCGAACGGTCATCTCCGTCGCGAGTACCGAGGCCTTCAACAAGCAGACCCTGGCGCTCGTCGTCGAGGTATACGCCCCGTCCCTTCAGCCTTCAAGGGCAGAAGTCCTAGAATCCGTAACTGTTGCAGGTCAAGCCTATTCATTACATGATGCTGTCCTTGAAATCGAACCTGCGAATACGGAACGGCGAGGAGCTGAACATGCTGCCGAAGGGGATGGAGCTGGACTACGTGGTGGAATATTACGACAACGTTGGCAACAAGTTCGACGCGGCTCAGGCCAGCGTGAAGGCCATGCTGAACCGCGTGGATCTCGCGTCGTTTGCCACAGCCCCGGATAATGTCATCACCGCTAAGTTCCTGGAGAATGGCGAGCTGGTCATGAAGGCCTTCAACGAGAGGAATCCGAACGGAATGTTCGACTACGTGCACATGATGATCGGCGATATCGTGTTCCCGACGAAGGTATTTAATCGCTAATGGAGAAGGTGCCTTTGACAATTGTTTCGACTTCTTCCGTTGATTCACTTCGACGCTCTTTTCATTTAACGTAAATTGATTGACTATTTGCGGGGGATAAATAACTTGGTAACTTACATTGATTTGTTCTTTATTAATTGCCAAGATAACTAATTGGATGTCAATTCAACGCTCTCCCCAATCTAACATAAATTCATATTAATTTACTTGCTATACAAAAATAACTTGGTAATTTAAATGATTTGTTTTTTAATTGTCAAGTTCATTAATCGGATATCGATTCGACGTTCTCCCCAATTTAACGTAAATTGATATTTATATTAAATTAATCAATTCGACATTTTCCCTGATTTAACGTGAATTGATATTATTTCAAATTATTATTCAATTATTAATAAATTATACGTGACACTTTTCGCAGAGCACTCTGACTGTCGGCGATATCGTGTGCTTCTCGATGCCGCTTCTCTCATCCGACGGAGACCCAGGATACTGGCAGTCATCCGCGCCTGAGATATTGCTAGTGGATCCTATCACAGGGATTGGTCGTGCACGAAGCGTCGGACATGCAATTGTGAAGCACAGTCTTGCCACGCACGTGCAAAGCGAGATAGAAGTCGATATTCTGCCGATTTCACGGGTAATTGCAATTGGCACAAATGTGTCTCGTTATCCTCAGACTACACTCGATATACGTTATTACGAAAATAACGTCGCAGGTATCCATCGTCCCTTTGAGAGGAAGAAACATCACCGGCACGGAGACATTCAGCGTGCCGCTGGTGCTGAAGAGCAAGGACGAAGAAGTCAAGGAAAACAACGTCTTAGCGCGAGGCTTAGGCGGCTGCCGGACGTTGTCGTCGTTCGCGCTGAATGCGTTCCCCTACACGTGCAACATTCAGTTCGTGTCGTCGACTCTGTCGTTCAACGTGAAGGATCTGTTTCTCGTGAAGCAGCGATTTGACATTGTAACGGGTCGGTTTCGCTTTGCTTCTCTGCTCTTCTCGCATCAAACGTAATTTCAGAGCTGTGTTAAGAGTAAGTCGTAAAGAACAAGTTCGTTGTAACAATCTTCCCGTCTTCTTTGTCATAGGCTTTTATTATTGCGATATTATACCAATGGCCTCTCCGTCCGTAAGCATCAGCACACTGGTCAGTCACATTCAGATCACCGCCCAGAGTCGAGATATCGGGTCGACAGCTTTGGAACTCGTTTACCTGCCACCTATGTATGTCAATGTGAAAGAAATTACGTTCGTCACCGCTCAGAGTCAAGGTGCGCCCGCTGCGACCTTCGAAGTGTACGGATTGTCGTCAGTATTGGAACATCTCACGGTAGGTCGCTTGTCTCATACACAATATTAGCGGTATTTCAATTTGTGACGCCTGAATATATGCGAAATAAAGCAAAATAGGAAATATCCCAGATAAAAGTTGCAGGGTTTGGAGGAAGACATACTTTGGTAACTTTATTTTCGTTGTATAGTCAATAATTCAAAGTCATTTCGAGGTCACTTCATTTTTTGTTTTCTTAACGCAAATCGATTGCTTGTTTATTCCGCGTATAAAAGTACTAGGATAAGATCATCGAAAAGTGAATACTTTTCGAGGTATTTCACTTTTTATTCTACTTTTCAGTACAAGATATGGAATATAAAATATTCACTTTTCGATAACATCGCCTTAATACTTTTTTACATAACAATATGAGAGAAATCGATTACTGATATTTATTATTGCATATTGGTGCATCGATACATTTGCGTAATGCATTTTTCTTAAAGTTTCTCTATATATAATTGTTTACCATTCTCCGGCTAAATCGATGCGCTATCACACTTCCGATTAGATCGAGGTGCCGGAAGGCGTATCCATCACCTGGCAACAGTACATCTCCAAGTCTGTGATGCAGTACAGGCTGCGCCTGATGCGCAGTCAGGATGAGATTCAAGGGCAGAAGGTGTTCGTCGCGAATGACCTGACCAAGCAAAACATATCCGTAAGTGATCTACACGTGTCTCAGGCGGATATCATGACTCATTGTTATCATGGCGTTTTTGCTTCCAGCTTTACGTACGGATGTCGAAGTACAGCCACTTCCTCCCTCTGTCCGGAATACAATGGGTGGATTATATGTATTTCCACAGATACACGCTGGGAACGTTCTTCGTTCTCGCGATTACGATTTTTTACAGTAAGACTGAACTTCATTTGTCCCGAGCCTTCTTAAGCGAGCAAAGAATGAATGAACGAACAGCAAACTCGTCACAGTTTGACAAATGTGTACGCCGTAACGAATCGGAGAAGAATGTCTCTGGCCGATTCATAAAGTGGTTTATCAAAGGAAATTTGTTTTGACGCGAATATATATTCGCTGCTCGTTCGTTCTTCGTTTGCTCAGTGTGCACCCACCTTTATGAATCTCTCAGAGATCAAACTAATCAACTTCGCTTCGTATGAATACTTTTGGTCTGCTCTTTTTCGCTGAACTAGCTGCACTGGCTTGTACCTCTCCTCTTTCTTCCATCAAGTCTTAACTACGCAACTGTCTTCTTTTAAGTGTCATAAGTGTACACTATTTCAGTGGAAAAAAAAACTTTTTTAGTACCAAAGCACATGATATGGGTGTTTCACTTTTCTAATAGCAAGAAATTCATTAAATTGATCAGTCTGGCTTCGGAAAAAACTAGTATATTTAATTGTTAAAGAATATCACAGTATCATTAACGTGTGACTTCTCTACTTGTTCAGTATGGAAGAACAAGGTGGCGAATATGAACTTGACTATCAGGAACAGAAGTATCTTCGGTGAGTATATCTATCGATTCAACTCGTAATATTTTATGACGTGTTATTTTTGATCTTTCTTCGCAGCCGACAAGTCTCCGTCGATAGTGAGGAAAGGCGGTATCCCGTGTACAAACGCCTCGACCTCGTTCAGTCCATCCAGTCCGCGAATTATGCACTCCACACCGCAGAGCCCGTTCTCGGCGTTCGAACGCAGTCAGTTCGGCGAGAGAACAGTCTACGGTGATCCGCGTGGTTTCAGCAGCGGACGATAGGAGAGGAAGTAAGTCGACGAAGACTCGTTAAAGAGTGACCATTCGCTACGGTACGCTAACGCTGAGAAATCGTTCTGACGATTCATCGTAGCTGTTTGAACAAACATTACTGTGACTGCTCGAACAATTAGTACTTCCGTTCAACGCGACAAATCGCGTATGTACATATATATCGTTGTATACACTTTGTAATGTTCAATAACGTTACACAATATGATTTGTGTAATTGTGCGTGCGTGTGTCTGTGTGGGTGGGTGCAGATGTGTGCAAACGCGAATGTAAAATGCGACTGTGTGGTTGGACGTTGATAATATTTTGATTACACGTACGCCAGGGTTGTCACGGAAAGACTTGGAAAACCCGGGGAAAAGTCATGGTCGGGGGAAGATGTAAAAGAACCTGGAATTTTTAATTTTACTTTCGTAATTCCCTTAAATGCTCTTATTCTTACGGAGTATTTCTAATTTTTTCTATGTTATATCTAACACTTATAATCAAATGTATTCGAAACCTTTGATAAATTATTTCTTACATGGTAGGGACGTGGCACATAGAAAAACTCAAGCGATACAAAAAGTGACCAATCATAACCGATTGTCCCTTGAAAATAATCGAATATGGTTGGCCAATTTTATTCAATTACCCTTTTTCGTCAAACTGCGCTCTTTCCTCCAATACTTTTTTATTGGTCTGAATTTGCACTGAGAATTATCTTACTAAACTTCTGAGTTTATGTTGCTTCTAATAATATGAACTATTTTTGCCGTGATGCCTGTTTCTAAACGTTAGAATTTCAGATTGGCTGTGGAAAAATTCTTTCCACTGTCGTACGGAAAAATAGGGAAGTTTGAAAATTCGTTTTCCGTAGCAACCCTGATTATACGTACACACTTTTACGCGCCCGTTCGTTTCGACGGCGATATATACGGTTACTAGTCACAAAGCTATATTTTTGTTTACACAAATAAATAAATAAAATGGCAGGCGGACTTACCGTTGTGTATACTTACGTGATATCGTGTAGTTATCACACGGAGAAAAACACTCGTCTCTTATATTTTACGAAATTGTAATGCCTCGTGCATCGTGATTTTCATAAATAACGTTTATTACAAAAGTAGATGTACGTTAGCGGAACGGTCGTTCCCTGCGATGATATAAGAAAACAGAAAGTGACCTAGGTGTATCTTAGAGTATAGGCGATCAGTGTTTCTTTGTGCTCTTCAGCAGTTTCTCATATTTGCTTTTGCTCGAGTACCACAGAGCGAACGGAATGGCTAGTGGAGGTAGAGTCATCACAGCGAATGCGGCCCAGTCAATCTGCGATTATATCGGTATTCGATGAAACATTAGTCGTACTGAGCATCGAACAATAGCGTATCAAATGTGCTACTAGAAAAGTTTTCATTCGCAATGACCTCAGTCCTTCTTTCGACTACTTACCACGTGAGATGAGAATTGCTTGTCATAGTCTCTGTACGCCACAATAAGTCCTTCGCCAGGCTCGCTGCTTACAGCCACCTGTAGCCTGGGAGCGTCCTCTTTGCGACGGTACAAGACCTCGGCTGAGGTAAAGTTGAAGAATCCAAATTTGCGTGGTCTCACCACTACGGTATGACTCACGTTTGTGTAAGGTGGCACACGGTCTATCCTGGCGTTCAATTCGCCGCTCACGTGAGTGAAATGGTCTGGATGGAATGAATTGTCTGTGATCTCAACTTCGAATGCAGCCACATTGCCAATATTGTAAATAGTGTACTGTAAAGGATGTAATATATTTCAGTGACACTGGACGGATATTTTGGAGATATTGCATATAGAAAAAAAAATTGATATATATATATATATNTAATAACTATATCCATATTTTCTACTAGGTATTTGTTGAGTATTTGTTTAGAAACTAATAGCCTAGCAGCTTCCTCTTCTTCTTCCGCGTATACAGATGTAAATAATACAGCGACAGCTGCGAGCAAAATGTGCCACTTCATTCTGTAAGATTAAAACGGTTTTTTTTGTTTTCTCTTATATTTTACTATGAAATACATTTCACACAAGTTCACTGATATCAGTTGATCAACACGTCTTGTAATTTTACATTAATATCTATTAAATTTTTGCAATGAGCAAATATCTGGAATTATGATATAATCGTTTCACTTAAATATAACAATTCTGACTACCATTAATTCATTTTAAGCAAGAATTCCCGTTTATCTCTAACATTATGTTACTACCATATAAATTCGTTTTCCTCATACGAAGATACCTGTTTTGTATTAAATTTTTTTACCGAAACATTGTTAGAATTACACACGGAAAAGTCGGTCCGTTAAAGTTTTACCGCTGTGAATACTTCATTGCGAGTGAAAACTAAAAGAAAAACCGCTCTCCGCTATACCGCCGAGTGGTTGGAGCAATTTTCAATTCTGTGAGAAAACGCATATTTATCTCGAACGCAAAGATTCGAGGCGTATGAAAATTCCGTAAAAACTCACGTTGTCGCGTGGAAAACGTCCCAGTAATTATTATCCTCGCCTGTTCAACGTAGCAAGACTATCACTCGACTACTCCATACGGAGAGAGTCGGCGACCGCAAATTAACTCGCGATCGAGTGCCAACAGCGCCCTGTTTGCTGCCACGTTTCCGACATGGATGATACACATAAGTATTTCCGGTACGCGCTGTAAGCGGCAAGATGGCGGTGGCAACTCGGCTGTCAAGGATCAGCTGATTGTGACACTTGCCGTGAACAAAAGTAACACACATTTATATCGATCCTTCTGATTTACTTTGATTCCACTTCCAAATCGTATTAACTGTATTTTTAAATACTAAGTGAAAAAAGTCAGTCTCTTCCGACGAAGTTCCGTAATCTCTGCTACGGGTCGCTACTGTTTCTACGGACAATTCAAACTCGTAGTACGACTCAACGGCAGGTCGGACGGAAATCTATTTTTCAAATAGTACGATTCAGTGGCACGTTAGACGCTCGTTTTATCGTTAAACAATGTGATCTAATAGCAGATGTGCGGGCATTTTTATTCTCAAATGATCCAACTCAACGGTTAATCTAAAATAACCGTTTTCAACAGCATAACCCAATGGCCGGTCGGACAGATTTCTGTCTTTGTCTATTGGCCGTCGACGCAGTGTGAATTCATCATTATCGCTTGTGTTTACCCGTGTTCGCGTCTGACGTCTGATTCGGGGTAAAATGTAACCGTATGACTCCTCAAATATCATGAATGTCATTCAAAGGGCGTAATCGTACGAGGGATGTGCGGTTGTCCCGCGAGATTCAATGATTATTAGCGTGTCAAATAGGTAGGTCACATAGCATATAATATTCGCATAAACACAGTAGTGAGTCGTGGGAAGGCGTTCGACGAGGCACTTGATGTCATTGTTAAAAAAGCATAAATCGCCACGAAATGCGTCTTCTCGTCGATCACGCTTGGCGTCATCACCTGTTTTAGTTTTATCTGTTACGTGAATCTATTTATTATAATGGATAACCTCAAACCATGATGTTATTTTAGGTCGTGTATCAGTTGCAGGTAAACGTTTCAAATATGGGCTGACACGCTTGTTTTCTAAATCCCGAGAAAATATTTGTGAACGAAGTAATGGCGTAATTGGTAACTTAGATTTTGCCTCCTTGTACAATCAATCATCATTTCAGAGATTTGTGAAAAATGGCAGACGTCAGGCTGCTCATTCAAGAAGAAGGTCGTGCGGCCAGGAACTTGATAGCTTTTAATGTGCCAGTTGGCACGAATAATACGGAGAAAATTACAAAGAAACCACCCAGTGTACCAAGGCAAGCTCAGTCAGGTTCGACAAAGCGATCTATGAAGCCAGCAACAAGAGTGAGATCTGCTTCTACAGGTCGCGATAAGAAATCTGGTAAGATACAACAGTTCGGATTTTATCCTCATTTGCAAAAATATATCCAACGATAGAAAATTTGGTGAAAACTGATGAAAAAGACTATTATTCTTACAGTCCAAATGTTAGAATTATGCTCGCGAAATGAGTAACATTTGTACGGCTCTTTTATTTATACATAAGATTTCCTTTTGAAAATATCTCTAGTTTTCCAATTACATATTAATACTTTTTATCATTATGAATTATTCAACTTTTAAATGTGCGATATTTGATTAGAATTACAGGCACGATACTGGGCATTTTTATTTGGGAATTTACAAAGAGCGGTTGATGGAATTTACCAAACGTGCGAGGAGGACGAGAATATTTCTGAGTGTAAAGAAGTTATTTTAGTTTTAGAGAATTATACCCGAGACTTTCATAATTTAATAGAATGGTTCAAAGTTAAGTGGGCTTACGAAAACTCCCCACCGCCGTTGAGACGGACTCCTTTAGCTTGGGAAGTTAGAAAGACTTCTCCTTGCCGAATATGGAATTCCACAATAGTTCCGAAATCTACTAGTCCGTTGCAAAGAGCAAGTCCAACCGAGTCCATTTGTAAGAGTCCGGTCGAACAAATAATATGCGAGTGTAAAACGACTGCAACGGACAACAAGATTAATAATGTAAAGGAGGAACTGCTTCATAAGTTGTTAAAAGATAGTAAAAACAACGTTTGTAAAAATTGCTCCTCGGATATTAAAGAGAGGCGTAAAAACGGTGTGGATAAGGTAAGAAATCAAACAACGAATAAGGAGAGATCTGTGTCGGCGAAAGCACTTAACAAAGTTCTCATGAAACAGTCAGTGCAATCAAGAGCGAATCTCGAAGACCGCAGGACACTGAATGAAGGTGTAACGTACGACTCGAGGAATAAGGTAGATTCGAGAAACATTCCGAAACACACGAAGGACTGCGTGCACGGCAATACCGCGAAGCTAGCTGATTCGAATTTATCAGCGGATAAACTAGAACAGGCGTATAAAAATGATAGAAACGTCCAGCTGAGTTCGTGCGCTAACTGTGAGCTTACGCAGAAAGACGCCGCTAAAGATAGCAAGACAGAAGGAAAGAGCGCGGACAGTAAGTTATCGTGTAACAAAAGTAACATAGTATTGGGGAAGAATGAAATTAACGTCAGAGTGAGAAAGGATAGTCTTAGGAAGGGTGAGAAGTCAAGTACGAGAGCAACCGTTGTTACAAATATTCCGGTTCAGGCTAACTGTCAAACGAACAAGCACGGAATTAGTGATAGGTCGGATAATAAGGATAGCCGAAATCCTGCGGTAACCTCATCCTCCGATAACGCAGATAAAGGCTCCACGACGTTCGATAGGCCTGCCTACTCCACCGTGTCGCAAGCGAGATCTAAGGCACGTTCGTCGTCGACTTTGTCCGAGACCCCAAAGTTCACCAGAAGTAAGACCTGCTTAAGCGGCAAAAATTTACCTACTCCGAGTAAAACGAGGCCTGGAACGTCCGTTATAGTGAGGGGACGATTTCAAACCCTTGAAAATAAGGTATATTTTCTTGTTTGCCTGTATTGATTAAAGGCGATGTTTCATTCAATGTGATATTTTTTCCAGCTGTCCGAGCAAAATATTTCCAAGAAAGAGCAGGGCAGAGACATGAACGGCTCGGTGGAGGTTTTAACGAAGCAATCGCCATCTTCGAAGTTAAAGGACGAAAGCGACGGTTGGCAAACGGTTAGGAACCGCTGTAGAAGAGGAAGCACTCATAACCTGAACATGTCGACGCGTTTTCATAAACCGAGCACCGCCTTGTCTCTGCCAGCTTTGTCCATAGAGAGCCCGTCGGAGAAGATAAAGAAGAATTGTTCCACTCCCGATGGGAATAACAAGCAAAAGAGAAAGTGCATCGTGGGGAAAGCCGGGAAGAACATGAACAACGAAGTCGAGAAAGTTAAGGGAGAATCCATGACGTCCACCATTAAAAACAGTCTCGAAGATACGTTCAAAAAGAACGCGCTGAATCTGTGCGATACGAATTCAACGTCGATGATCGCGGCCATCTTTAAGAACGACGCGGAGCTGCTCGAGAAACGCATACAACAGTTTATGGCCGCTCAGGCGGAAAGAGAAAGGATCATCTTAGAGGAAGAGAGGAAGACGGAGGAAGCGGATTCTCAAAGATCTCAGCAGTTGTCGGACGAGGAGGCGTCTCTGAAACGACAAATCTTGGAGCTGGAGTCCACCGAGATCGACGTTGACACGGAAACGGACGAAACGGATGGCGAAATGGTTCTCGAAATGGAAGACGAACCTGCGGTACCCCTCAGTGTCGTCACCGACGATATTAGCTTAGAAGATAGGTATGTAGAAGTTGCGTTTGTTGGAATCTTAATAAAAGACCGAACACTGGTGTTGCAGGTACGAAAATATGTTGGAAGGTATGTCCTGGGCGGAACGAGTCGACACCCTCGCGCAATTACGCGCGTTAGTAGCTCGGCATCCGGGACGCGCGTTGGAATTGCATCAAAAACTGTCGTCCCCCTCGCGAAAAAGATCGCTTCCTGAAACGTTGAGGAGATACCAGGCGAAGCAAGCTTGCGCCCAGCACAAACGTCAAAAGCTACTAATGGAGAAGTCGCAACGCTTGCGGGAATTATTGAACAAAGTAGAGGACGTTAAGAGCGCAAAGAGTCAACTGATAGAGGACAAGAGAGTCCGGATGGAAATGAGACTGAAGAGAGCGGAGGAAAACAGAACGCAACACTTGCTGGAGATAGTGAGGAAAGCGCACGACGAAGACTCGAAATTGAAGGAAATAGCTTTCATCAACGAACTTGAAGCGCAGAATAAGAGACACGATTTCATGGCATTGTGCCAAGAACAAGAAGAGAGATTACAGGTATGTGAATTTCTGAACAAAAAATCAGTAATATATGTGTGTTTATCTGCGAATTGATTAATGATATATTCAGGACTTTCTAAATGTGAGGCCTTGTGTGTGATGTAATTGACACTGGAGTAGAAATATTCATAAAGAGAGCTCCCACTTCATCGATTCTTACGAAATTAATTAATTTATATTGTAGAGAAGACAGTTGTGAAAGTAATTTCCATGAAAAATTAAATCGACATTATTTTCCGAAATATAATAAAATAAAATTTAAAGTGTTTATATTTTTTTTAGAGATAAGACTCATGTGAACAAGTTAACATACGTTACATAGAATGGTCGTTTACCTTCTAAACAGAAAAAGTTTTTATTTACTTCGTACTGTTTACAACATTAACATGTAATGCTTAGGAAAGAGCATGAAAATGTCACTTGGTTTTTGCTGGATAGAAATTTCAGCTATCTTCCTTAGAATCTGAAATTGAGAAGATTTGCGATGAGGTGATCTTTTCTGAATATTTTCTAAATGTAATAAATCGCGTGTGTGTAGGGTATCCAAGAAGAACGTCAACGTCGACAAGAAGAGAAAGCTGCCAAGGAAGCCGCGGCTGAAGAACGCCGACGAGCTTTGGAAGCAGAGCGCCAGTTGCGAATACAGAAAATGAAGCAAGCACGGCGAGAACGTGAGGAAAGGGTTGGCAAGATGCAGCTCGAGAGAGAAAAGGAACGACAGGTGGGCGATCACGACGAGCGAAATGTGTAATTTGCAGGAAGCCGTTAAATCCCGTCTTTGCAGGAATTGGCGAGAGAAAAGGCACGTGATCGCGAAGAACGCTTGTCGGCGCTACACGCTGCTCAACTGGCCAACCAAGAAGAGCTGCAGAAGAAAATCGCGCAGAAGCAGCAAGAATCTGCTCGGAGGCACGTAGAGAATATTGAGCACATTCGACAGCGTGCGGTCGAATCTTCAATTTTAAGATCGGAAGAAGTACCGCCTACCCTTAAATCTTACCCTGCTCAAAAACAGTGTTCTCTGTGTGGCACGATTGTGAGCTTTGTTCTAGTTACGTAACACCACTGCCCGGACGAAATATATTTTATACATCCGTACGTTTTACAGATATCTAACGAGGTGTATCTTCTGAGCCACTTGAAAGGAAAGACGCATCTGGAAGCGGTGCGAAACGCACACGACAATCGTGAACCGTCCCGGGACGAGCTCCAACGCTTCAACATCGCGCAGATACGAGACGTGCCGGTTACCGTTGCCAACAGTAGCAATGCGAACAACAGCAAAGCCGCGAAAGAGAAGCAGAAAGCGTTGAAACGCCGGTGTAGAAAAATCAAGCAACGCATGAACTCGCGCGGTCAAGAGTGGGAGGACAAACGGAAGGCTGAAGTCAATCCGAATTTATCGGCCGAATCAGCGAATAAGGCCAAATTCCGGCGCAATTTGAAGGAGCTGGACAGGTTGTACAATAATCATTCCAAATCCGCGTGGTCGACCATAGCGCTCGCCGCCTTGGAGCGTTGTTTGGGCGAGATCAATCGAGCTTTCGCCAAATCGGTAAGTCTCAACGAGAGGAAAGCACACTTTCTTCCACGGATTGTCGCCTATTGTCACGTGTGTTCTGCCCTTTCAGTGTCCGTTCGATCAGGACGCTTTCAGAAGCTTGAGCGGCTTTGATGTCCTGACAAACTTACTGAATTTAGGTTTAAATGCGCAAAATGCATCACATAATTTACCAAATAAGTGAGTACAATGGAATTTCTCCGTAAAAGACACTTTCTATCGCGATCTATTAGCGAAAAGAATTTTCGACGTACTTTATTTGGCATTCCAGGGCGATCGTATTATTGTGTCGAGTTTACAAAGCCGGTGTCACTGGAAACGCTGAGAGCACAGAGGACATTTTGTTGAGCAACAAAATTCTCGTTATTTTGGATTTACTTTTACAACGTTTAGAGGTAAGTTTATGTTTATCTTGTTTCCTCTATTTATCAATGTCAGTTATTTAGTTATTATAACTGATGACTCTTATAGATTTTTCTAATACATGAGACAATCTAAAGAAAATTGTTCAAGATATGAGTAATCATTATTTCCTTAATCTATTAATTAATGATGGGCGATTTATTCACTCGATGGAAATGCATTCCATTTTTTTATTTTATTTATGTATTGGGAGAATAAATCTTAACAAAAACCAAACAAAAATTTTTGCAATATTGTCAGCATTGCGAAACGTATCTAAAAGCGCCTGCATTTGATATATGAAATTGAAACAACGCCTATTTGACATATGCTGCCACCTAGGAAGAAGAGGGCTAACTAACTTCTGTAAAAGCCAGTATCACACACAAAAAATGTCATAATTGCAATATATCTTCGAGAAAGTCTAAAGCCACGTAAAATATCCACATATTGATTTTTGAAATTTTATTCATATTTATATATATAACTTCTTTATATTACAACTTCATTACACTTGTTTTTTATTTACCGAGATAATATCGAAGCATTAATAGGTCTCGGATTCCAAGCAATTCAAAGTCTAGACATTTTCATAAATCGAACTGCAAGGATAGTAAAATAGATAAAATATTATTTTGATCTCATTCTAAACATTTTAATTACGTCAAACTAATGAATCGGGGATTTCATGCTATTTGAAACAGTAATTTACGACGAACTGGAAGATCAGTCGCATATTTACTCTTTATGTGGATATTGCTTGAACAAAGATTAATTGTCTTATTGTTCATACAACTGAAACGATCTATGAAGAAGAATACATGAAACTTTTTTTTTAATGTTAGCAAATTTCTTCGAGTTTTTATTTGCCGAAAGCAATCAATATTTTATACTCGATAAAAAAAAACTGAAATTAAATATGATTGTTTTGAAAAAGTGATAAAGACACAATATGTAGGGCCATAAGGAATGAAAATGTTGTAGTGCTATTTAAATATTAATATTATTAATATTTTTATATCTGTGGGAGGATAAAAATGTTCACCTTGCATCACGCATGTATCGGAGAATTTTTCGGGCAAACTTACGCGATGAATCAACCTTCCACGAACGAAGCAAACCTTGAGTTCCCCCAATAATATAATTTTACATATTAAATATCCCTGAAAAAAAGTGAACTCTTTGGTTGATCTGAAAACATTTCGGTTGAAAATTAGTCGAAAATTCATAATAAACGAAGCTCTACACAGCGCGTTGGCGTTATATGTTTCGCTTCTCATGGAACGCTTCTATTGTCAAGTATTGTCGAATAAATAAGGATCTTCGTTTCCTGATAAAGTTTTGGGACGTGGGTCAAGATACACTGCGATATGCGGTGGACGTGCGTAAGCATCACCTTCGAAAGCGAGCTAATGCGATAGATAGGCATGTAGATTACAACTTGTCCTGCTCCTTTTTTCGATCTCGTTTCGACGTTGGCAGAGGGATGACGGTAAAGACGACGTAGCCCTGTCATTCTGTCTATCCTGTCCAACTTGTCAAAATAAGGATTAAGGATCTTGGGGATCCACGATTTCGTATTGTCGTTGCCTCCGGGCCGCATGTGTCGCTTCCTTCGCGTGTAAGACGCGCCGGTAAATATAAATAAAAATTTCATATCCGATCATTTCGCTGAATTTAGCTTCTCTTTCTACAAACGTGCTCTTATCTCGAGAAAAGTAGCTACTTTTGTTTCCACCTCCTGCTGTAAGAGCATCACTTCTTTACTTTTATTCGTACCATTCTTGAAGTTATAGTTCCCGCGTTTCACGCAAAGTACGTGAACACAAATATGCCTGTGCTTTTATCTTGGCAACAAATATATTCGAAATATTCCACGGATGAAAAAGATTTTGACTTCGAAGTTCCGCATTTGTGGGAACGTAGATATCTAAAAAAAGAAAAAAAACCTACTAAACCGAACATTTAAAAAGATTTTTTTTCTTTGAATTTGCGGTTCAATTGGTTAGAAAAATCTGATAACGGTTCGGCCTGATTTGATTTAATAACAAATAACGGTTAAAACGTGCATGTTAAACAATCGGAAGTTCCCTAGCAAAGTTATCAAGATATTAAATGCGCTCGCATTCGTGCGTTTTCGTGCTTTCGCGGAAATTTCAGCGGGACGATCTCTCTTTCTCCTCCACCGCTGTTTGCACAGGTACGGGCGCACCTGTGCGAAATGATCGGTGTGCAAAAATTTGCACATGCCCGCCTCTCCTCTCGGCGTCGATCATCCCGTATCGTTTCGCCACCGACGACGGTCGGCCTCGGCGTGATTTCGCCATCGATTCTTCACGCTCCATAGATACGGCACTGGCGCCTCCTCCTTCCCGTCCCCTCTTCCAAGGATCCCCCTCCGCAAATGCATTAGCGGCGAGAGAGCTTTTAGTGACGTCACCCGCATACAGAGATATGCGGTGCGTGCACGCATGTACACACGCACGCACGCATACACGGGCTGTACGGGTGAAAGGAAAGTCCGCCCGCGAGAGAATGTGCGTGGGGTACTTCTGTTTCCACTTCCATCAAGTCCCGTTTCGAGGACCTGGTCTAATCTTTTGTCTCGTCCTCGTCCTTCTCTTCCCACTCCTCCTCCTATCGCCACTTTTTCAAAGACCTCTTCGCGCGTCCTAGAATTCGAAGTACGCGCTGCAATTTTCCCGCGCCGGCTTTCCCGACGACGATGCTGACTGACGAGGACGACGATGAGGAGGACACTCTGATCGCGGGTCTGGAACCCCCTGAGTAGCTTTCCCAGCGTTAACCCTCTAATAAGGTGGGGTCAGATTGACCCCACGGCTTCGTTTATTTTTTTTTATAGCACGCACTGTTTCTCTTAGGCCTGGTTTCTCATTTTCTGCTTAACTTGTGCTTAACTTAATGATTTGAAAATTGTTTTCCCATTCATAGTTAATCATTAAATTTTTTAAATTACCGCTGCAGAACCATCAGTTTAACGATCAACCATGAATAGAAAAAATACAATTTTTGCATTATCATCAGTTTGACTCTAAACCACAAGTTAATCAGAAAATGAAACCCGGTTTCATGTTATTTTTTATTTCCTTTTCTTTTTTGTACTTGGGTTACGTGAAAAATGAACAAAACAGAGGTTCAACATGGGGTCGCACCCGACCCCACCTTTCTGGATACGTTGAAAATCCACCTTGCCATTAGAGAGTTAAAAATAACGGTGGAGTAAATTCCACTTTGGAATTTGACGAAGTTCGATAGAAACAAACATACGCTCAAGTTATGCTTTGTCTTCTGAAGGATGAAAGAGCAAAGCTTTTTCGTTGAGGTCTGTTTCCCCGACAGATCTTTGTTGACGACGCGGTAATAACATGTGTAACACAATAATTGTCGAGTCGCGTTTGTCACACCCACCTTGTAACAGCTACAAATTTCCGTCCAAATGACACGGGAATTCACCTGTTTTTCTTATACATTTTGCCTTTATCGCTGTTCGTGTAAACGCGCAGCTTCGTTTATCGCTAGATCGTTCGGCATTATCGGACTCGTCTATACGCGAAACGGGATTCTCGAGAAAATGGAAACAAGGGAGTCACCTCGTTACCAAATGGACCAGAAAAAGATCATGTCGTTAAGTCGCGGAGATAAAAACTCTCGCGAATTAAAAATTCAGCGATAAACAGGATTAGAGACGGAGGGTCCAAGTTTTATCTTTATAACTGTTGGTATTGCCGTGTTCTCTGGTGTACACGTGTTTTGTATGGTCGATGTGCAATCAATGGGACCGCTGTATCGAACTCGAGACGAGAGCAGTTGTAAATTCGCGATTGTGAAGCAGAAATTTCGTAAGAAAATGTATACATCTCTCATGTACTCAGATTTTTTTCATTTTACTGCGTACTTTTTTCATTTTTATCATTGGATTTTTTTAAATTATCGACACGGGTGGTAAATATTTTATTCTAATTGTATAAATTCGTCAATTTAATACAAAATTATTTACTGCTCAAGTCAAAATGAGTTTTAAAATAATCAAACTTTGACATAAGAAGTAATAAAACTTATTAAGACCAATGTGACTATTACAAATAATTTAAATAAAAATAATTAATATCATCTGTTGAAAGAAAATGTGTTAGTGTCAACATGTTACAACATTTTTAATTCGCGAACGAGTAATACACGATAAATAAATTATTCCGGCTTAAAATTTAAAGCGTCTCTTTGGGCCATGTAAAAAAATGTTAAAAATTAACATTTTATTTTTTATTATGTAGAATATACGTGTATTAGTATTCCATTAACGTCATAGAACAAATTTCATACATCATGCAATGAATCGATAAATTTCTCGTTAAGTTCACCAAATTATATTACGTCAATCGCGTGAGCAACTTTTAATGAATATAAAACTGCAAACACGATCTTAATTCTCCGCCTCGGTATCGAAAAAACATAGCCGTGGACCATTGCGCAAAGAAACGAATCACTTACCGGAGTTCGCCGATTTCCCGCGAATGTTTCCCAATTTTGCCCGTCGACCGAGCGAATTTACAATTCCACGTAAATTGCTAGAAATTACTCGGTTCCTATAACTGTTTCTCCCTCTCGTCCGAAAATTCATAGACGTATGTGTACACGTATGACTGCATTCCGGTTGATGGACGCCGAACGATTTCGATGACTACAAACCGAATTCATCGACCGTGGAAGAGGGAGAAAAAAGTCGAAAGAGTTCGAGTCGAGCGAATTAAAGTCCGAATAAAGCAGATCGACGTATAAAGCGGATATGACGATTTAATATGTGCCATTATACTCCATTTTCCCCAATAATAAAATAATAAAATAAATAATATCGCGTACGCAAAATCAATTACGCGTGGAAGAGAGAGAGAGAGAGAGAAATGCGACAAAGCGTAGATCCTGCAACCGTGAATTTGTCGTCGAGATGCGCTCCTCGAAAATTCATCGACTTTTTAATTTTTTGATTTTCCGATAATACGTCCAGCTAAATTCTCCGCCTTTCTGCATACATCGCGTCCAATAATCCTCGGAAAATAACAACATAATATCGGCCAACAACCATAATAATAATAATAACAACAGCCGAACGCGTTCGATTTCGAACTCACGAATATACCCGGCGCTCGCCGCGATGCGAATAAATATCTAAATTGATCGTAGGACAAATCGACGCGGATAAAATACGCAAGTCAGTCGTGAAATCGCGCAGCATCCCTCGTTGCCGCGTATTATCTCATAGAATTTTCCAAGAGCCCCCCTTTCTTTCGATCCGCTCGCTTCAGTCCGCGGCCGCGCGGTTCGGAAAGAACTGGATTAACATAAAAGCATCCTCCCGTTTATGGTCGCACATACTCGATATATGCGTTCCTCGAAATTTCACGTCTCGTTGGCGTCTTGTTTTCGTTCGCCTGTATCAGAGAGGCGTCGCGATCGTATCGTTTTATTTTTTTCTGTCTCTCTCTCTTTTCTCCCCCCCCTCTCTCTATCTCTCTCTCTCTCTCTCTCTCTCTCTCTGGATACGGATGGGATTGAATTTGTCAAGGCAGTGGTCAAACCACTTTTTAATGTTTCGTCGGAGATTATTTCGCTACCTCTTATGAGAGCGCGGCCGGTTGGTAACATTATCTTTTCCATCCGAGGCTCGCCTGGTGCAACAATAGTTCTTAAAGGATTACCCGCGCTAACATCGGCTGCCCGACGGGGTGTCGCGAACTCGTAAAAATTTACAACAAATCGCAGAAACCATTATATATATTGTTCGATAAAAAAAGAGCCATTTAAACAAAAAAGAAAGAAATTCTGACATATTGATCAATATATAATAGTTTGTAACAAATTAGAGTATGTAATAACAGATACTATAATAGAATATACAGGATGTTCCAATCTAAGAAGAACACCTAAATATCTCCTTTGTTTTTAATGAAAAATGTTTAAATAATCGTAAACAAAATTTTCCTTTCGGTATTCCTCCTTTGAAACCATTCGAATTGTGCTTTAAACATTCCTCATATCAGTAAAAACAAAGGAGATATTCAGGTGTTCTCCTTATACTGGGATATGGATATCCTGTATAATATAGATGTACTTTACTGTGTCATACGCGCAAAGATGATTTAATTGAGAAAACAAAAAATTTTTTGTCAAAGACGACTAGTTAAAAGCAATGATCGCTCGTTCGTTCGGCAGATTTGCGGGACAAAATGCGCGCCAATTTCTCACCCCGAAGCTCCGTAACTTTGCATTGAAACAAGCGGAGTTAAGAGCAAAATCGAGACTGCATCGCACAATTGTTAAGTCCGTTACAAAAGCCGGCTGTAATTTTCGATGCAGTCGCGGGATGCCGTGCGATATATTCGCGCGAGCAAGGATCAGAGTCAGCGGCCAGAAGTGAAATAAAAGTGGACAAACGTGTAGTACGGCTTTTCGATAGGATTCCCCGAAGCGCTTATCGAAAGCGAGGCTAAACCGTTTAGGACCCATATTCCTGTCTCCGGAATTCTTATCGGAACCCTTAGACTCGTTACCACTAATTTAGCGTTATAAATGCGCGTACGTATGCGTGTCGTCCAGGATACGCTCGGTCCACCGAGCGACGCGGTAACAATGACTCAACGTATTAGGAATTCGCTTGTGTCTAAGCGGCTGATCAACCGGCCTTAGAGGCTTTAAGTAGCCAGCTCAGGTACAGGTAATCACGACCGTTGTCTCCCGGTAAAAAAGACAGACCCGAGATAGATATAGACGGAGATGTTCTCCAGATTGTTTGGAGTAAAAATTCCACTCAGGTATGCGTGACAGCCGAGTCGCTCGAATTCGAGCGATCTTTCCTGAGTCGAAATTTTAAATTCTACCTTAAATCTTCAAGTGGAGAAAATGCCAATGATTTCGCCATTTGTAGCGCCAAAAGTGCATAATAGAAAACTTTGAAATACTTAATATTGAACTAAATTAGATTTAAACTAAGACAACATTTTCGACTTGAATTCGCTGCTGCAGGCTCAGTTTCTCGAATCGAAATTTGGATGCTACTTTGACGCTCTTCATTCTTTCCGGTCGTTGATCCTATTTTCTTAGTTCCTATTATATTGTAAAATTAAAGATTTAACATAGAGTTGACAAAATTTTGACTCGGATTTCCACTCCGAATCGTTGATTTTCACACGAAACTGAAGCGCGAGTCAGATGTGCTCCACCGTCGTGGGAACAGACTCGCTCTAATCGATTAAAACATTCGCTCGTACGGATTAAAAATCCGCCCACTCTAAGCTGGAGCGAAACATTCACTCTCGCGATCCCGATGACGATATTTTCGCGTTCTTCCCGCGTTTTCAGTGAGATTTCACTTGGAGAAATTTCGAGAGCCTTTCACCCTCGCGTCCATTCAGCCGCGAATTCCTCCGGCGGAAATGTCAGAATGCTGTTACACACACGTGGTAATGATAATAATAATACACGCCTTTGAGATCCGCTGCCAATGACGGATTGGCTTCATGGGTTGGAGCCGCGCAAATTCGCCCGTCACGTTTCCCACATTATCGAACGCGCAAATTGCTCTCGCGCCTAAAAATAAGAGATCGATGCGGAGCGCAAATAAAGTTTTACATGCGGCTGAGCGACTTCGAACGGACATTTTTGCGTGGAGAATGTCGATCGCACTGAACGATTACGTTTTACCTTTCGCAGACTTTAACTGCTCTCGATGACCACGCTCAGACTCAGGATGTGTCTACCAATTCGACCGGAAACGGAATGGTGGCCGCCAGCGCGACGCAATTGCTGTGCAGCATGATTCCCGAAGAGCCTTTTGAGAAAACCCCCCTGCAGATGCGCGTTCAAGATATTGCTGGGTGAGTCTTGCACAAAACGCTAGATTTGTGAGCGCAATTTCGTGTTACACGATCATGAAACCTCGATATTGACGTCGGCTGAGAGAACCCGACTCTTTCGAGCGATAATCATATTTTTGTCAACGTATATCTCATTAAAACGAACGAATAATTGCGCTTTGGTATTTACTTTTTCCGGTAAATTGCCGAAATTAGCGCGAGAATCAAGAGATCCGGGGATACTCGTTAATTCGGAGCGAAAAGTCACGAAGATATCGGTGTATTAGCAGAATTATGACAATTCGCTTCGTATAGAAGTGAGCTTGCGGCGTTGAATATGCGATGCTTTAGCAGAAAAAATGTAGCGATTTTAAAAATTATTTATTATTATATATATATATTTTTTTTTGTTTTGTTGAAATATAATAGTATCAATTTAAATAGATTATACTTTAACGCGAGCTGTCATAAAATAATTTTTAATTAAAATCGTTATATTTTTAATTTTGAATACTAACTATGATGTAATGAACACACACACACACACACACACACACACACACACACACACACACACACACGCGCGCGCGCGCGCGCGCGCGCGCGTAACGTGAACAACAATCGCTAAATATTTAATTGATACGTAACTAATTCGATGTGATGTGCTGTTAACGTCGTTAAGTGTTCGGAAAATTCGTTTTGCCACGTAAAATCTGTAGAAATGAGGACGCGTTTCAGGTGTTGCCACGATGCGATGGATTTTTGACTAAATTTTCTCCGCGACGTAAAAAGAGTAACGTCAATATTAGCGTCGTTTGAATAAGCAACATGTGTGTTCGATTATTAGTTACAAATGCGGCATTAAAATTAATCCCCGCTGGCGGAATATTATTTCACTGATTAGGGTAATCGGAGCATAATTAGCAGGCATTCCACTTCTTTCTGGATGATACGAACGTTCTACGTAATTGCGGGCAATCATCTACAATGAAATCGTAACTTCTGTAACGTGTGTTCACGTGTCTTTTCTCCCGGCTACTTTTTTTACAATTGCCCCATGAAAGAACTAGTCGCCGAGGTGAAATCTTTTCGGTTAAAAGAAAAAAAGGCGTATTATTGTAACGACGGTAAAATCAGTGGAGGACGAATCGAGATTAACGGAGAGGTCGAAGCAAACGATAAATTTCGTGCTATTCGACGCACGTGAGAAGTGTATTCTTTTTCGAAGTTAAAGATTTGCCGTTGATTCATTACACTGTATTATGATGCGTTAAAAAATTGCGTTTTAACCCAAAAATGTACTTGTTAAATACAGAGTGAGGCAATGACTGTTAACTCCTTGAATATCTCCGAAATATGAGAGCAAGAGACAAATGTATCTAATAGAAATTGCGTTGATTACTATTTTGAAAATAACTATCTGTAAATGTAAACTTTTTCCATCTTTACGCATCTGACCGTTAATAAAATATTTTTATATCTCGAAGTTATTCAAGATGATAATATTGCCTGCTTGGAAAAAAAATAAACATTAGTATCAATTCAAAACTCATACTATCATTATCATATATCATATATAAGCAAGAATATATAATTTTACATGAAGATAAAACTTGTTTACATACAGAAATTCTATATTGTTCCACTAAAAATATTATGTTTTTCTTATTTAAGAGTAATTTTCGTGAAATGAGAGAAAAAAATATTGGAAAAGAACAATAAAGAACGATATCTTCAAACTGGGATAATTCTTCGTTTGAAGCTATCGTTCTTTTTATCCAATATTGTTTCCTCTTAATTCATAAAAATTATTCTCGACTAAGAAGAAGAATATTTTTGGTGGAAATTGGTTTAACACGTTGAATGCCACGCTGATTTCCATCGATCGTACAAACGCCTAATTGATTCAATTAAATCACTAAAGCTGCAGTAAATAAATATAATTCAGGATACGCATCTGTTAGCTTGTTTCATTAGCTCATTACTGGCTGTACAACCTATTTTGTAGATGCAATTAATTATACGTCACACGTAATTTAATAAAACGCGGTAACATCATAGCGCCGGTCACCGGTGACCCCCGTGGCATTCAACGTGTTAAATATTCCTCATGTAAGCAAGTTTTATCTTTATATAAGATTATATTCTTATTCATGTATGAGAATATGAGTCTTGAATAAAACATGGATACGGTAACGAGACTCCCAACGTGGCTTCCTGTAGAAGTTAACATTGAATGTTGACACATTATTAACTGAAGTTAACGGAAAAATGCAAATTTTCCAAGCGTTCACGAAGTCACATTTCGAAACCGTCTTTTTCTCCTATCTTTCGCGACGTTTCCCTCCTATCGACCGGTAATAAATCTGTCTCACCGCGGCTATTAGCAACCAACGAAGTTTTCATTCGCGATTTTACACGCACTCTCGCCCGAAATCCGCATCTTTTGATCTGGTTTAGTCATTTGTTGCGCAAACACCGTCTACGACGGCGCCTTTGAATGGCGCGAAAGAATACTCAATGCGCTTTGAGGCGCACAGACCACCCTGTCTGAAAATATAACTGCGTTGTCGCGGCCAATACCGAACTTAATACGCGAGTCACAAGTGACAAGACGCGAACTGTTTTCGTTGCATCGCGCGAGACCCGATCTTCGTCAGGCTGATGGCTCGCACCTGGGTCAACTTCCTCCACGAGGACCCCCCAAAACGCCAGAGTTAACCCCTTTGCGCGCATCGAACTTATTTCCTTCTTCCCTCTTACACTTGTCCCTTCCCTCTTCAATCTTGTGTCTTCCGCGGCGGAAAACTCCGTCTAGAGTAAGCTGGGAGTTTTCATCCCGCCAGTGGATACCATAGGAAACGTAATTACTCCGCGTTATCATTTAAACTAACACATTTCCGAATTTGAGATGTATAGGTTTTAATTAAAATTGAGTTTCACGTTCAAATGGATTTTAATGAGACGCGACGTTCGATGGAAACGTGTTGCGTTTAATATTGCAACTCATCTACGGCGGACTTCAAATTCCCATTATTTCGATTTTCAAGTGATAAAAAAAAAATAAAAAATGTTTTACAACCTGGAAGCATCGTGAAATTACACGGCATTACATTACAATCGCAACGTGTTCGCACGTGTGACAATACCGTGAAAAGAGGAAATAATAAGGGAGAAAAGCGATTCGAAATTTTTACGTTCTCGCAGCATACTTTACAGTTGGGTGAATCTGCGAATTTCGCGTTCACTGATCGCACCGTCTGGCCTTGTATAATGAATGACGAAGGTGCGATCGGAATTATTGTCGACCGCGCACCGGTAGTGGGATTATTATGATTAATTTCCTGCCGATGCGAGAAAGGCCTAGTCACGATTTTTACTCAGCGGCGAGGTTGCTTTTCGCTCGTATCTTTAAAGTGCGCAGATGTGTAACGGCGATCGATCATTTTGTACGTCGTAATACTTATTTGACGGTCGTTAAGTGCACTCGCCATCGTTCCTTCCCTGAAAAATAATGCGCGTCCTTTTTGTGCGCCAAGAGAGAGAGAGAGAGAGAGAGAGAGAGAGAGAGAGAGAGAGAGAGAGAGAGAGAGAGAGAGAGAGAGAGAGAGAGAGAGATTTTTCTTTCTTACCGACCTCAATGTCTACCATTTTTATTGTCGGTGCGCGATACGAGGTGCAATTTTACAACAAGCGGAACGATTTAACGCACGTCCCTACGTTTTATTGCTATATGCTTACATATAGCTACTCGAAACGAATAAAATTTCGCCTAATATATTTGCCTTTAACGCGATTATTGATATTACGCAGATCGTAATAGAAAGTTCAAATGCTAAATTATAATTCGTGCTGTTTAAAGATTGTCGTAATTTGAAAACGCGTGAGAATGAACGCGCTTTTCCGAGGAAGAAGTATAAAAATTCTCGTGAGATCTGTAAACGCGGAAAATAAAACAGTCGTTAAAAGGTTTTATCGTTGATACCAATCGCGTGTCTCTTAAGCTCTTCGACGGTGTATGAACGGCTTCATATAAAGTAACAGATGTGTCGTATAAAGATAAGGTGATAAAAAGTGTATATGTTTGCCTATCAACTTTTATTCGTTAGTCCGCGTATCTGCGCGATCTATGTTTAAAGAGGCGTCGCTAGTGGCGGCTCTCTCAGGAATCATTTTCCCGGTTTCCACTTTTTTCACTCGTTTTTTGCCCCTCTCCTCCCTTTTGCCAACAGTATCGATGGTAAATGACCTTTTCGTCGTAAATTCCGCGCCGCGCAGCGAGAGAATCGCGTCTTTCCGATGTTCCTTCTGCATACGCTCGTACGGGCATGCAAATGCAAACAATGCGTGCCGGGCGGTGTGCGCTTTTTAAATTGTCCGCATTTTTACAAGAAACGATACCTTCCACTTTTAAAATGTCCGACAGAAAGACAAAGATTAATTCGGAAGAAGTTCCTTCTCATCGATCTTTCTGATGTTAACATACTTTATCTGTAAAACTTCCCTCTTACGATTTCGCGAGATAATTTGTTTTATCTTTTTTTCCCCCGAACAGCAATGTTATTATCATTATTAATTATTAATCCCTCTTGTTATATCACTTATAAAAAACGCTCTATTATATTCAATACGTGTTCAAAAATAGTTACATATCGCCAAGTGTGGTTATATGCGAAAAATACATTATCAGAGGAGAGAGAAGTAAAAAAAAACGCAGGAAAAGAATTAATATCAACTCAAGAGTCATAATCTCATACATAAGCAAGAATATATAATCTTATATCAAGATAAAACACACTTACACATAGAGAAATATGATTCCACTATAAAAATATCATATTTTTCTTGTTATTCAAGAATCATTTTCACGAATCGAGAGGAAAGTATTGGATGGAAAGAACGATATCTCCCAACTGATGAAATTCTTAATTTGAAGATCTTTTCATTCAATCCTTTTTCTTCCGATTCATGAAAATGATTCTCAAATAACAAGAATATGACATTTTTAGTGAGAGCTTATG